AGTCCTGCAGAGGGTACGTTCTTGTCCCATGACTGTGGGGATGGGGCTGGACCTGCTTCCTTCAGGAAGGGGAGCCATAGGAGGAGGGGGAGTGGTTTTAAATGGAAAGAGGGGAGATTGAGATGAGATGTGGGGAAGAACTTATTTGCTGTGAGGGTGGTGAGAGCCTGGCCCAGGTTGCCCCGAGAAGCTGTGGCTGCCCCATCCCTGGAGGGGTTCAAGGGCAGGTTGGAGGGGGCTTGGAGCAACCTGGTGTGGTGGGAGGTGTCCCTGCCCAGGGCAGGGGGTGGCAGGGACTGGATGGGCTTTAGGGTCGCTTCCAACCCAAAGTATTGTGTGATTCTATGATTCTGAATCTCTCACCTAGAGGGCTTATAAAGCAAATACAGCTTTTTGTCCCACCATTGAAAAACATGCCACTCCATGCCCACTTTGCTTTAGTTTTATGCCATTTTATGGTCAAGCAGTTGAGGTGCAGTTAAAGCCTCTGGAGGCGAGAAGAGGCTCATCCTTCACTCTGAGGTCCCACAAGTGTTTCTTGGCGCTGGCTCAGAGTCACCCTATTTATCACTGCTGCTTTTCACAGCTCTGGAAGAACTCCATCCTGCCAGGAGGCAGGAAGACAGTTTAGAGCAGGTAGGAACCAAAGTCAAAAGCCAGGTATAACAGGTAAAATGATAGCAGAAAATAATAATTCTTAATAGTAAGAATAACTTGGATAGCAGTTTTCTCTGAAAGAGCTGCAGATGTGTCTTTCAGGGTATTCCCAAGCAGGGAGCACTGTGGGGCACAGCCATGACTTATCTTGCCTGGCCCAGAGCCATTGCGAAAACAAACAAGTAGGAAAGAAATTCCTCATTTGGAGCTGGAGGAAATTCAGCCCTGGATGAGTCTAGGCTGGTCCTGACCCTGGAAGCACAAACAAGGAGATTCGTTATTGCATCACACCCTGTCTCTGCAAGTGAAGAGGCCACACAAATTAAATAAAGTCGTAATGGTGACATCCAGTTTAAAGACATCTATTTGATATCCCTATTTGGTATTTATTTGATATCTCTATTTGATAACCTGGTCCCTTTGAGATGTTGGGATGAGACCTACCATGGCAGCTGTGGGGTGTGGGGCTTTCAAATCTGAAGGTTTTTTCTCTGCATGGAGGGAAAACGAATTTTCAGAGTGTGAAGGAGAATCCTGACCCACCCCTTGTTGTGCCTTGCTCTCACACTGCCCCATTTATTGCACTTCATGCAATTATTTTGTTAAAAGTCACATTCCCAGAATCTGGATCTCCACGAGCAATGGAGATGCCTGGGGGGAATACAGTCATTTCTTTCCTGAGCAATGGTTTCCCTGGCATGCCTGATGAATCATATTCTCTGACACAGAAAAAAATAAATCCTATTTCAGGGAAAAGACACGTAGCTGCCTCCCTCCATGGCTTCCATGAGTCCAATGCAAATGTGAAACATAAGGCCTTTCCAGTGGTTTAATTTATTTCATCCTTGATGCCAGAAAACTGGGGTGATGTTGGATGGTGATGGAACCAATTTATTCTCAAATATTTTTGGCACCAGTGAAAATGGTTGGCAATGTTCCAGGAGTCCTGGTGTGGCGCTTCGTACCATGGCATCAAATTTACCACTCGCCTCCCCACTAATTAGTACTTGTACCCTAAGAAGGGGATTGGAGCTGCCTCTGTGCTGAAAGACTGGAAAATTGAGGAGGAGGAGGAGTGGAAAGCATCGTGAAGGAGGCTGAAATAACAAGTAACCAAAGATTTTGCCATCTCCATTTCTGACAAAGCTGACTTGCCTGATGAGCAGGCATTGGAAAGTCTCTGCTCCCAGCTGGGGAGCTGTGGCCCACTCCCTGGGAAGGCAGCGAGGTTATAAAATAGTTCTCATGATGAAATAATCTTGGGGGGTGGGTGGTAGGTGGGAAACTAACCATGAAAACAGATCTTCCCTTCAATAATCTGCAGAAAAGGAAGAAAGTGTGTTCAAAATAATCCATTGCATCCAATAGCAGGGAAGGTAATTTTTTTGTCACCACCCTGTTAGGAAGTAGGATAATAATTAGTTAGATATTATTCTTGAAAGGAATTATTCTTGTATTCTGTGTCTTCCAGTATTTATCATAATGTATCCTGCAATATATAAGTAATGCTACCAATGTCACAGCCATTAGAAGGGCCGTTAGAAAAGTGGGGCCGAGCCTGAGTGTGGGTATTTAATGCAGAATAAAGAAGTCAATTGGTGTGAAAATGTGAAATTCCTCCCTGCAGAAGCCTTTAAACACCACATTTTTTCATGCCAGCCTTTTTGCTGTGGAAGTACCTACACGGCTGGTGTTTGCTCCCTGATGCAGCCGAGAGCCACCCGCTAACGGTGTTTCCGTCAGCGCTGCCCCCTCTGCCCTCCCGCTGCTGTGGAGTGTGCTCAAATGTCAGGATGAAATGACTGGTGGTGGGGACAGGGGGGAAACTCTGGGCACACCCGCTCCAAGAACCTGCTGTGGCCATGCAGTGATTTAGCTCTTCCTCAAATGCTTTCTCTCATTTATTTTAATTTATTTCTTGCTCTACTAATGTCTTGTCTCAGCTTTTGACTCTTGTTGATCACCTGCAAACTTGAAAGGGCTGAGGCAGGACCCCTACATGATGCTGGGGTGAATGGGGTCCTCTCCTGCTCCTCATCTATTGCAGCTGTAAAGCAGCGACCTCTCCTTTTGCCAGGGGAGAAAGAGCTCCTCAGACATGCAGCTTTCTGAGATATGGGCGGTGGGAATTTGGGACACCTCAAACTTTCTTCTCTTCTGCGTGCTTCCAGGTGGGTAGTCAGCTTGAGTTTAGCAGTGGTCCTGAGATGGAGATTGCCTGCTTTTCAAGACTTTTGACCATGGTGCCTTGTGCGGTTCATGTCCAAACTTCTAAAATCAAAATGAAGGGCTGAAAATTCTCCCTTGTGCGGTTCATGTCCAAACTTCTAAAATCAAAATGAAGGGCTGAAATGGTATTTCATAAAGGAGAATATCATCTCGTCTCCCATCACTGTGGGAGGCTTCTTCTGAGATGCATCCTGACCTCTGGGGTGGTTCCTTGGGGTACAATTGCATCTGAACATACCGGTGATGTGGTCTTTACAATGCATCAGCTTCACTTTAAGGGCATTAAATGTGTGTATATTTAAGTGATGTTTTCTACTAGAAAAACAGTGGTTTACAAACAGCCACCATCTGGTGGTATCTGGGCTACCAGTTGCTTCCAGGCTTACTCTAAGGGAAATGGGGTATCTACGCTATTCTTATACTGTTTCCTTTCCTGGACATCGGTTGGGACAACTTCTGCCCTGCTCAACCATCTCCCTACAGACAGCGTAGCAAAGCTGCTGGGAGCATTCAGAAGCTCTTGGTTTATTATTTTTTAATTCCTTAATGGACATGCAGGGTTTGTGGGGTTGGCCGTGCAAAGACAGGAGACTCTACCTCTCCCATTTGGATATTCTGTTTATGTATACAACCTGCAAATCGTTTCTTTAAAAGTAAAACACTGCCATTTAGAAGCAACGTGCCTTTGTCTTGTAGACAAACAACTAAGCAAAAGGAGAGATGTCTGCTTTTCGGTCTCAGTGCTTCTATACGCCCTACGCTGCCTCTAAGATTTAACTAAGCAAAAGGAGAGATGTCTGCTTTTCAGTCTCAGTGCCTCTAAGATTCGATGACTTATTTCCAAGGAGCGGTGTGTTTAAATGTGTGGGTTATCAAAGATACGAGTTATATGTATGAAAATATATCATCAGTTCTCTTTTAAGTGTTTCCACCGCCCTGCAGTAAGTAAATACACTTTCAGCAGAGCCTGTTCTCCTGTGGTTTCACAAAATCATATTGTGGAACAAGGACCAGCTTTTGACATTGTTTTGGGGGGCTTTTTTGAAAACAAACTGTAAAACAGTGCATAAATTGGTACCACACATAGTACTTTCTGAATCAAATAAAACTTATGATGACAGCACCTTTGGTAAGCTAGAAAAAAAGCAGAGCTTAGCATTTGGATTCTGTCATTTGATTCTGATAACTTTTTTGTAAATACTTGAAAAATCAAGATTGTAATGTTTTTTTCCAGCTGTTAAAATAAAAAAGCATCCAAGCTTTTGGGGTACCAGGTAGTCACAAGCTGTGCCCTGGCCCAAGGAGATGAGTGTGGAGCACCAGTACCTCTGGTGCAGGGCACGGTGCCCAGCCCAGTGCCTCCACCAAAGCCAGGGCTCGGTGAGGCTGGAGGCCAGACCTGGCAGGAAACAGGACATTTGCTAGAAAAAAATCAAATGAGTGACCAAACCCTCCCAACTGACAGTTGGGGGCAAAAAAAGAAGGACTCTGCTTCACAGTTCAGCACATTGTATGTAATAGCTGCAGAATAAACTCCAGCAGTGACCTGGTTTAAAAGAAGACAAATATTTAAGTGTCAGTTCCACTAAATACAGTCGGTCCTGTCCACCGCTTCGGTCAGTGCAGCTACACTGAAAATTTCAGCCAGGCAGCCCTCCGTGCTGGAGAGACTAATGAGGAGGACCAGAGCAGCGTGTGTAATTCTGACTCTGCTCAGCAGCTTATGAAACAGAAGGAAACGGATGACCTGGCATGAACTGCTTCCTGAGACAGCCAGGAAAAATTCATCTCGCTTCATTATTGATGACCTCTTTTTAAGTGGAATGTTTGCCTACAACCAAGAACTCTGGAGAAGCACAGCAAACCAAAGAGCCATTCAAACTGATGCATTTGCTTGCCACTCCTAGGAGATATTAGCTAGGATTTTAAATAAGCACCTCACTTAAGAGAATAATAATGATGTGATTAAATTATTAATACTGGAAACCAACTTGCAGATGCTTTTGTCTGCTAAAAAATACATGATCTCTGAAGGCTTCAGAGACTTAAAACACAGATTGCGTGTCTGAGGAGGTTTTGCAAATCTTACTTAATCACAATAAAAGACATGGTAATAAACCAGCATCCTTTTTATTTTAAAAAAAGACATCCAGCTGCAGGTTGGATACTGCTGTTGCCCAGGACAGTCTTGTGTTCAGATGGATGGCGTTCAGCTTGGGTTTTCCTGTGTTCAGAACCAGAAGAAGAGACCAGGCGCTCAGACGTTGCCTGTGTCTCTGTTGTGATGCTTCGGTCCCACTTGCAGGAGCTCGGGAGGCAGAAGGTTCACAGGGGTTTGTTGTTCTGGGCCGGGCTCCGGCAGAGTTCAAGTGAGCAGACACCGACCCCTTAACGCACATCTCCACATTGAGCTCTTGGCACCCAACAAGGTGTTCAAGCTGGAAGGAACTTTCTTTTCCCTCCTGTATGTCCCAAACCCCGTGTCTTGCAAAGTCCACTGGAATCTGCAGTTGACAAGTCATTGCCTGGAGAGTGTTCCCTACCCTGGGCTCTGGACCCAGTCAGTTCCAGAAGCTGCTGGGAGATGGGATGTACAAGCCTTGGTAGCTTCTGTTGGGCAACAGCTTAGTAGTAAAGATGCTATAACAACAGCTATTACAATTTTCTAGAGAAACCTGCTGTAACAGCTTGTTTGCTTGAGTGACCTGAAAAATTATGGTCCAATAATGAGGGGAACAAAATGGGAGAAGACCTGGTCTGTCTGTACTGCAGCCCCTCTGACTGCTTTCAAGGGTTTCAGTGCAAGTCAAACACGATCACGCTTCTAAGAGCATGACAATGAGTAGCACAGGAATGGAAAGCTACATTCAAAATCAGGCCAAATCACCACTGAGTATAAATACCGTGAGTATAAAAACATCAGTAGAGCCTGGGCACGTGTTTACATCTGCCTTGAGGGCAGTCAGGACCAGTCAAAAAGTGCTAAGTGCCAGAAACACATTTCTTCCTATTTTTATGTCTTGCTTCAATAGTAGAAAGATGCAAATCTGGCAATGAAAAAAACTTGATATTCATCCCTAAATTAAAAAGTAACTATCTTTTGGATGTGTAATGCATTTGGGACAACACACAGTGACTACTTCAGGCACAGCGCTTAGGTATGAAGAGCCTCTGGAGCTTCTCCAGAGTGAACGAGACGCACAGATGGGCCACCGCTCCAGCGAGTCCAAAGGCGAGAGGTAACAAAGGTGGTACATTCAAGAATCTTACCAAAATTACTGCGCAATGTCGAGCCGCAGATAAATTTCATGCTTGGAAGGACTCTGCATACAGACACCTGTTTTCTCCAAAAGAAAGGGGTTTTTTTAAGGCTTTCAGCACTGCTCTTTGGCCAGTCGGTTCCCTACGCTGCAGCATCAAAACTGCGATAGCACAAGGATGTAGGAACAGTCCTTCAACAGTTCGCTGTTTTGTAAAAAATAAATAAGGAAAACTGTCCTGAGTACCTCAGTCAGAACTTGTTCTGAGCTATGTTTACATTAGTACAACAAGCACAATTAAATCCATTGCTTGCTAGATACTGGTTAAATGCATTTTAAGTCGGAAATGAAGCAACAAAAGACAAATTAAAAAATAAAAAAGCATGTCTATTCCATTACTAATCACACAAGTTTCTGAATGGTTTTCTGTTATTAATTCTTACAGGATGTGTAAATGAGATATGGTACTTCTATGAGACAGAACTAAAGAGAAATGTGATCAATAAAAATGGTCAATGAGATGAGACACATGGAAGTCAAACTTCTGTTAATAAGTGCAAGGGAGCATAATTTAAAATTAATGGTAAAGGAAATGTATCGGTACAAATCCGCATCTACAAGTAAGCCCACTCTAGAAAAATTGGATTTTTCTGATAAGATGTGATACTTTTGAAATAAAATGACTGAAATGTTTTTGTGGTAGAAATGTTTACAATGTACACCATTACTAGCAATAGTGTATTTAGAAAAAAAGTGTCAGTTCCTGAACCAGCAGGTAAGAACCTAGAAGGTATTTGTATCTCTCTATATATATTTAAAAATAAAATTTAAAAAATTAGCAATGCTTTTAGCCATAAACTCATAAGAGTAACACAACTTCAGCAATCCATCTTGGGAAGAGAAGAGGGAAAAGTTATAGCGGGATAAACTTGTTTCAGTTTGCTGCTCAGCTTCGTGGCCGGCACACGGTACCAGTTTAGCAGGTAAAGTTCTCCCAGTATCCTCTAGTTTTTCAGTGGGGCCTAGAAAAAGTAGCACTTCTAACAGAGTTTCCAGAAATACATACCACGCACAGAATACGGAGCATAGCAGTTAATTGTAAGAAACTATTAGCACGTAGGTTATTTGTGCGTCTGTGCACAAAGGAGACGTTAAGTGTGTTCCAGAGATGAAGAAACGGGACAAATGGTACCTGGGAGCAAAACTGGACAAAATGGGCCCATTGCTACTGTTCCTCTTGTCTCTGCTTTAGCTAGAGTGGAAAAAACAAGAAAAGAAGGGAGGGCTGTCCTTGCACACCACAGAAGAGGATCCCTGCTGCGCGACGGGGCACTCGGGTTGGGTGCCAGGCGAGGGAAACAAAGGCCAACGTGGGGAAACAAAGGCCAGAAACGAGGGCCTGTCGCTTCTCCCCACACTGGGAAGGACAAACTGCCACAAAAACAAAAAGGCACGGAAAAGGGGAAGTGCCATTTTGTTAGATGTGCTTATGCCACTTCTCTGAAAAACAATTAGTTTCTACCGAAATTGAAATGCCAATATTCCAGGCAAACAACGTCCTTGGGTCAAAATCAACCTTTCCTTAGATGCTGAACAGTTTAAATATTAGCACATTGGAAAATTTTAGGTGCACAAATGCGTTGGTTGTTGGACACTTGAGAAAGCTGCTCTGTATGTCCAGCTTCTTTAGATATTTTTCTTCCTCACTGTGTCCACGTGTAACTGGCTCAAGTGCAAATGGCATGTACAGAAGAACGAATGCTTCGGGTCTCTGAAATACAAAACAAAGACATTGAGATGTTAGTGATACAGGAGTTACAGTAAGTGACAAATTCTCCTTAAAATGGGAATTAAGGCGCTTTTTTGAGAAATTTGCATAATAGCGAAAGTGAAGCCAGAAAATGGTGGCCACTCACTTCTCTCGGAGTTTTGAGGAGATTATGGCAGCAGACTGAAAAGAGTTATTTTTCCAGTTACATTCAGATGCCCAGGTGTTCTTAGCATGGGCAACACGTATAAATGAGCAAACAATAGACGTAGTGTTCTGAAGCAGTTCAGAACTTCCACATTTAACAAGTCTGGAACCCAAAGACACAAGTCCCAGACACTAAATTTGGCCGTTTTATTCAGAAACTGCATGTGTGAAGGCAGGATCACACAGATGCTGGTTTTGTACAGATGTAAACTTGCTTTAAGCATCCTTTGGTCTTGGCCCTACGTGAGGTTACCCAAAACAGCTCCTGCTTCTCCTTAATTGAGGCACTGCAAGTTTATTTAACCAATTTCAGCAGTAGATATCGATCATGTTCATGTATGTGAACAAACCCTCTGGCTGTGCACAGCTACCTGTGAACTCCAGCTGTCAGAGCTCGTACCAGCCAGCAGGCAGAACTGTGTTTCATGCTCTCATGATGATCTTGGACAAGTTACATGTGAACTGGTTTCTCATTTAAGACCCAGCTTTCTAACTAAGGATTCCACAACCCTAGTCATAATTAAGCCACAAAACCCGTTGGGTTGGCAGTTCATGGAGAGCAGAAGGAATAATAGAGGAGAAACGCCAACACAAATGCTGTCAAGGGCCCCGTGCTGCAGACGGTGCCAGCTGAGGTAAGACATTGCACCAACCCACCGACATTTCCATAAGACTTAGCCACACATGTGTGAAGGAAGGGTAAAGGAGCCAAATTCCATGGACAGGTGGGAAAAACTGGGAGGAGGGCTCCCCTTCCATGTTTGAAGAGGTAACAAACAGTCATGTTCAGAAGCCAGGCTGGCGTGTTGGTGCTGCCCAGAGCTGGATTGGCTTCTAACACACCAAAGAGATGTCCCAAAACTCTGTAACAGCTGTGGCGTTCCTCAAGCCACTTCAGTAATGAGTTCTGCTGCACAAAGATACAGCAGTGGCAGCTGGGAACCAAACCCTGCAGCAGCGGCATCTCCTAAGAGCTGGCAACAGACGCGACAGGGAGCGGAGCTGGCACCGGCACCGGGGAGAACCGGTCAGGCCCCTTTGGAGAACGTGGTACTAGCAGAGAAAGACGACGAAATGTGGGTGAACTCACCCATCCCATACGCTGGTAAGGCACAGCGTGGGACACCAACCTTCTGGGTATTAGCTGACCTCTCAACATCCCATTACGTTAAGGCACTAACTGGCTTGGGGCTGGACTGTCAACTCATCATCCTCTCTACTCGGCACACACCGATGTGACAAGCAAAAGCTGCTTCTCCTCTTTTCCCTCTGAAGTTCTCCTTTCACTGTACCAAAACAGGCACAGCTGGGGTTCTGGTACAGCACCTTCTCCCTTATTTGAATTTCTTGATGCCTATTTCAGATTCTTGTCTCTGCCTCTGTTCCTGGCTATTGTGCACGTCTTTTCCTGTGAAGACAGCTAAAATTCCAATCTTTCATTTAGTTCTCTTGGCTTTGCCAGTGCAATTTTGTGGTCATGTTTCAGCATTGTTTTCATATGTACTGCTGAGATGGACATTCTACCTATAATTCTCATAATATCTCAGATAATCTAGGTGCTCTTTGCTGCTAAAATTAAATTTTTATTAGTTTATTTGTGGAGACTATGGCCAGAAAACACAATAAAAGTACCTTGTTTCACTGCCAGAATTTCACACGTTTCTGTTAAAGCAGACGATCCCACCCACAGTCTGAAATAAATGAATTCCATTCTTCATCTTCCTAGTAATTTGTTGCACTGATTTCCCCCCATGCTTTTTGGAGTCCTGATAGATTTTTGTCTGGTTTCTATTCTTGTTACAGATTTCTGTTTCGTCATTCATCTTCAGATTAGGGGTTTAAATGCCTTGTATCTTCTTTTTCATGGAGAAAGGTTTTCATCTAGAAGCTAACTCAAACTGATAATGTTAGATGTATGGGCTGTCTGTGTAGGAGCCAGTGTACCGTGGCTGGCCAGGAAACTTGTGTAATTCCTTCTTAGGCAGGTCTCTTGAACGTGATTTGAGATTTGGAAGATAAAGAGCCAGTGCAGTGTTGGCACACACAGATTTAGCAGTGCTATTTTAAAGGTGGATATTGGACTATAGTGCTTCTTGGTCTACAAGCCTACAATTTAGGTTTATCTCCTCCCAGATTGTTCATCACAGACAGCTGTGATGTTAGGAAGATGCCTGTTTTGATCCTCCCAATTCCTGTATTTATCCTTCTGTATAAGTAAATAACAAACTTTTAAATGCAGGTAGAGCAAACAATATTGTTCTAAATGACCACCTGTATCAACTGAGGTGACAGTGCACATCCTTGCAGGCTGAGTCTCCCACAAAACAACAGCCCTGAGCTTGGGAGGACAGGAAAGCCACAGTGTCTGCACAGGAACTGAAGGGCTCCAGTGATGTCTAGTACTGTATGCTGGACTCAACAGCCCTCATTACTTGCATAAATCATAATAGACTGGATGTTGTGTTGGTGGGTGATGGTTTTTAGTTTGGTTGTTGTTGTTGTGTGTTTAGGGGGTGGGTGGTGGTGTGTGGTTTTTTGTGGTTGTGTGGTTTTGGGGTTTTTTTTGGGTTTTTTTTGTGGTTGAACTCGATGATCTCTGAGTTCCCTTCCAACCACTACAATTCTGTGATTCCCCCTTCCCATGTGTGACACACGCAAGGGGCCCCTGCCATCAACTTTTGAACTCTACTTTTACAAACAGACTGCAATAACTCAGCAGTTCCTCGTAGCTTCTGCTTTTGCAGTAGTATGAAGTAAACTCCTTTATCTGCAAAGGCTAGAACTGCACAAATAAGCGTGCCCTGCATCTGGGAATGCCATGTCCTACCACCTTAGGGTGCAGAGACCACACTCACCTGGTGTTCACTGTCTTGAGGCTGACTCAGGAACTGGCTTCTGCACTCCGAAGGCAGTGATGAAAATATTCACAACTACTATAATGAATACTAGGCCAGTTGCAAGGTTGTTGAGGAAATCCAGCTTTCCATGTTTTGCAGGGTTGTTAAGGTCATATTTTACTTCAAAGAGAAAGGGAAAAAAAGTTTTAGTTATACGTATATTTCAAAATCCAGAATAAAAGCCTGCACTACTATTGTAGTTCAAGAATTTCTAACACTGAGCTATTTGCATCAGTCATACTTAAAAGGGAAGTAAGATTCTGCAGCATCAGTAAAAGTGCTAAAGGGAAGATCTTTAACAAGATGATTAGCTTCCAGTAATTAGTACCTAAATCTCTGTGGATGCACATGGGAAGTAACGGACATGCAAGCATTAATAGGAATCTTTTGAGTTCTTGATCTATTGAAATCTAGTTCTGTTGCAGATTCTAAGCATTTAAAAATTATTTCAGTCTTGAATACATGAAGCTTGAAACTCTGACAGAACAGAAGGGAGTTAAATTTCCTACAGTTAAAATCCTACGTGTTCTTCGCAGGCAGCCCAAGCTCTTTACCAGTGCTGGTCTTCTTTGTACTGGTGTGCCCTTCCCCAGCTGTACTCCCTGCTTTTGCACTAACTCCGTTTTTAAAAAGGAAGGGTGTTAACATCTGTTAAAGAAAGATCTCAAAGCAGTGTAGCTGCAGTGCTTTTCACATAGAGCATCAGCTGTGTAAACATTTTCTTTTGTTTCTTGCAGTTCTCTGTGGTTGAACTGCTAATGGGAGTGAGGGAGGATCTACAGGAGAGATAGTACTCATTTAGAGTAAGCTTTGATTCCATATAAAACATATAAATGAGTTACAATGGACTGATAATAGACTTGATGATGGCGTAAAGCATGTGCTTGCACAGGACAGCAAGAAGTCTGGGGGTGCTTGCCTGGCATCGTGCAGAAACCCAAGATTTTCCTCTGTCTCTGTTCTCTTGCAGGAAGGGCTCTGCAATCAGACCCTCTGCCAGATTTCTCTGATGCTGTGGAATGAGCGCCAGTGAGTTCTGGAGCATGTCTCCTGAATGTCTTTTGTCTACTAGGACTCCTAGTTCTTAAATGCGTAGATCACTGGAGCTTGTGTGTGCATGTACAGGACCTGTGAGAGAAAATTTATACCTGACAAGTTTTTGCAGTAACATAAATAACACTTTAAGCTCCTTCTGAGAGGCACATCCATAGAAGTGTAGCTTACAGCTCTACTGCATGAGATAAACTTTGTTATTTGCTTTTAACATAATGACCATGTCAACACAGCAGAACTTAACCACAGAACCAGGACTAGCTTGCTTGTTGAAGCACTTAAGTAGAAGTGGTGGCAAACACACTTGTGAAGTATTAAAAGCCAGGTTTGCTTGGTCCCTAATTAGGAAGCCTAACACTGTTTTGGTTTCAAGGAAATCTGGGCGCCTGTTCAAGTCCTGTTTGCTAAAGCAGTAGAGTCAAACCTCACAGCCCAGTCAAAGCACTGAAGAACAGCGTGGGGGAACTATCTGAAAAGCTTAAGCTACTGCACACCTGTGCAGGCATGAAATTATTTAAGTGCAGCAGAACTTAACCCTGAAAATGAGTTTATACATGTCTGCAAAGCATCTGGAGCTACGTGGATGCTTGCATCCCAAGAGCACTTGGAAGGATTCTAGTAGTGTCACGTGAATGAAGCGGAATAAATGAAATAGAATAGTCAAACCTGAAGTGTGGAAAAAAAGCATTTCAGACAGTTGGCTCAAAAAAGAAAAGGGAATAAAGGCCTAATGTGCTTTGTGAGTTAAAAGAAATCATGCTCAAAGGAGAAGTCACACTTTCAGAGCTGTCCCTTTGTCCAAATGAGGGTCCCAGAAGACAAGTATTGCTTGTCAGTTCAGGCAGTGCTCTAGATATTGAAGCAGAATTGCAGTGATCCTATCTTTGTGATTATAGTACTTAAGATGAGGGTGTTTGTGAAAATGTTCTTAAGAACAGTTATTCTTGAAGTATTTTATTATAGTGGGATTAGATTACTATGATTTCATTCCACTTAAACTATTTCAAGACATTCTTTGCTTTTCTTCCAAAAAGTTCAGATTACCAAATCACTTTCAAGGACAAGTTTGCTGAACATATTTCAAAACGTTTTTGTGAAAGGCTCTTTTGAAGGAGGAAAAGGTTTTGATCCCTAGTAAAGAACTGTGAGAACTGGTAGCTCCTGGGACAAACCTATGCCTCAAGGAAAGAAACTCAATGGTTGCAGACTTGTGAGAGCTTGTAAGAGGCAGAATTTTGTGACTGGACAGAAATGCAAACTGTTCCTGCAGGCCAAAGCTACCAAATACACGTTGTGAAGGGCAAGTTCTTCCTATGACACCTGTATCTTTGTACCTTCACCTCCTGTTTCCTATCTTCTTTTGAGCTCAGCAGGACAGCATCACTCCAACTGCACCCCGCTATACACCGAGGGCTTTGTCACCCTCAGCACGCCAAACCTACAGGCACTGCTGGCTGACAAAGGTAAAAATTACAGAGACGGAAGCCATTTTGGCAATGTCTAGCAGAAACAAATGCTAAAAAGCAATTTCTCAGCATATAATGAGAAATTATTGCCCAACAAAAAACAGGGAACTTGTTTAGAGCCTCAAAGCCTGCTTAGCTGAATCAACCACCCGGGAGATGCCTTTAACGTATAAGTGGTTTGCTGTTTTTTCCATGACTCTCTTCCCACATCTCCCAGTATCATCAGGTTGCTTTTTCCAGTCCCTTTGTGGAATCTCCTCTGAGCCAGAGCCTGGATTTTGCTCTTATACCAACTCTACCTAATGCAGAGACAGATGCATTCTGCCTCTTTTGTAATAAAGAAAAATCCCTATGTCAGCTGCTTAGCAATATTACAAGCCTTACGCACCCTGGTTTCCTAGGGACTTCCTCCTTGAAGAGAAAGTTTTTTTTCAGTTGTGCTAAAAAACGGAACATTGAAAGACTAACAGAGATGCCAAAGGTGGCACCTATACATTAGTAAATACCATGTGTGGACTCTGTCTATCACCTTCAAGGCTTTTCATTTATGGTAGACTTAAGATCTGTCACATAAAACCAATTAATTTAAAGGGAAAGATTGAAAAAAGTTATGAGAATAAATGATCATATATCACTAGTAAAAGAAGTGATCCATAGCTGTTACCTACCAGTGAAGGTGTCATTTGTTTCACTGAATAATGGGGCTCACCTAATGCTGAAACCTAAACATTTCGTCTAATTTCCACAGATATCTCCGACTGACACTCCAAAGTTATGCTCTAAGGTTTGGGTGCTGCTAACGAATGCTGCAGGTTTTCAGCAACTTTGCCACTGGATTCTTTTTGCTTTTTGCCTTGCGAAAGCATGGGGAAAAATATCACAGTAGGTGATACAGTACCAAAGACAAGTATTGAAGACTTGTTTGAGGTCAAAACAGAAAACTCAGATTTCCAGCAGAGTGCCGTCTCTCCACTCTCTGTGTGGTAATTCATGCTCACTAATGATGACATTGTTTTAGAAATTAGCCTGCTTCAATATTCTGCCTTACGGAATAAGACAGAGAGTGAAGACATACATGTACTACTAATCTACAATACTAACTTAAAACACCTAACTTTTAGTGATAAATACTGGTTCTTGTGGCTCACAGCATTGTACTTATTAATACTGAATAGTGGAACCTCTGTTTTTGAAAACAGCAAAGATGCTGCATTCAGCTTCTAGGAATGTGAAGGTCTGTAATTCAACAGCCAAGACAGAAAGCGGGGGGGGTGGGGGGGGTGGGGAAGGCAGGGAGCAGAGGACTAATTCTGTCCCATTAAATGCGTCCAAAGCACACACTAATACAATTCCTATTTGAACTCATTCTCTCAAAATGATTTTTAGCATATTTGAAATGTATTGCATCCCATTTCTTTGGTAGAATGTAGAAAAGGTTTCCCTAGCAATAAGCAGAATTCAAAACAAACTATTTGTGTTCCAAGATGCTGCTCGGACTGTGTTTTCATGTTAAACATAATTTCAAATTTTTTGACTGAAGTCATAGTATGTGGATACTAGATGAGGTATGTTCTGATGGTGAAGTCTTGCTCCAACTAGCCTATTTTTATTTTTAGCTTTAATTTCAGTTTAACACAGGTTTGAAAATTAACAATAACAAGTACATCTCTACCATTCCCCACCTAAAGACTTAGGACGCTTGAATAAATTCATAATTTAAAACAAGGAAGTTTTTTTCATTATTGTCAAGCCTGTGCTATCAAGCCTTTTCTTTGAGTGCAGTAGCACAAACAAACTGATGACAATATGCCACACCAATAACTTTCACTTCTGTTTCAGAGTTCTGTGCTCACAATATATTCTTATAGTATTACTTATGATATGACTGATATGGAACAAATAAATTCCAGTCATAAGATTGAGTAACAGTTCTTGCCAGAAACAGTATTATGAAACCAGGCAGGCTGCACAATCCTGTCTGGCCTATTAATGATTTTTTTACAGTATTTCATCATTTTCCTTCCTCTTTGGGCCTTCTGAAAGGAAAAATATTTGTGCTCTGGGGAAATGAGTATGAGGAAGTACACCAAAACTGGAGATTAGAATCATAGAATAGAATCATAGAATTGTCTAGGTTGGAAGGAACCTTTAAGATCATCTGGTCCAACCAGCAACCTAACTCTGACAAAAACAAAAAAAATATCACTAAGCCATGTCCCTAAGCACTATGTCACCCGTCTTTTGAATACCTCCAGGGATGGTGCCTCAACAACTTCCCTGGGCAGCCCACTACAATGCTTAATAATCATTTAAGTGTAAAAATTTTTTCCAACTATCCAGACTGAACCTCCCCTGGCACAACTTGAGGCCATTTCCTCTTGTCCTATTGCCTGTGACTTGGGAGAAGAGACCGACCCCCGCGTCTCTACACCCTCCTTTCATTCCGCATAAAGCTGCCCTTACTCCTTTTGTTGTAATATTCCTGCAGTCTTAAGAGAAAATTTTAGTCAATTCTGGTGTACAGACTGGTGTAACAGCTTTTTAGAGATAAATGGGGAGTCTGCACATCACTTATATGTAATCTTATAGATTGCATCCTCTAAGAAAAATATGCGTCAATGGTTCTTGCTGTTGCTACATACCAAGGAATATCAGGAGCACTCCCACCATAACCTGCAGTGTGAGAGACAGGCTGATAAGAACTATAAGTGGGATGTAGAAGGAAAAAGAAGGTCCTTGCTCCATCACGGCTTTCAGCTGGGACGCGTTGGCCATCAGCAGGGCAATGTCCAACATGCTCTCCGCGGCGCTCTTCTTATTTGCGTAGTGGTTGATATTCATTGGTCCATTTCTTTGAAACCACTGTGACGTTCTACGCTAGAATTGGAGGGAAAAAGGTTATTCACATCTCTTGTAATTGGTATAGTGAGCGAGAGATGACTTGATCCATCGGCTGATTTCTGTAACCGTACTGATAGAGTAATAGTGGTACTGAGACCATCAGTGCATCTTTTTCAGTTACCACTGTCCTCCCCCTGATAAAACAGCAGTAAATAGTGTCTGTACTGGACTCTGGCAGACAAACATTTTCCAGCTTGCAGGATCAGTCTGAACAGTCAATATGTTTCTACCCTGAGAAATGGAAAGATTGAAAATGCTGAAAAAGTATGCACTGAGAAAAGTTGGGAGGGTAAAACCACTGTAAAACAATCAGGCAAACAACAAACCGTTGCAGCTAATTTACTCCTAAAGGCATACTTAAAAATACAAATATTTACTAAATTCTCTGTCATCACAGAACTACATATTTGTTTAATTACTCATGAGTCTTATTTGAGGATTTATGTGGAAGCTGGCCACTGTATGAGCTTTGCTTGATCTCTTTCCCCGCTGCCCCTTATTCCACCATGGACCGTCCAGGCCCATCCACACACAGTGAACTGGTTTTCCATTTAAATATCACATGATGTGTGGTTGCCAAGCTCTGCCCAATTACAAATGCCAATGGCATTTCTTGCCATTTTCACATTAGCACTAATAGGATTTAAAAAAAACAACAACTCCTACAAACAGGAAAATAAAAACCAACTGCAGGGCAAAACCAGAGCTAGTGCATCTGGTGGGATCAATAAAATGTTTCCTGATGAATTTGACAGCTCGTCTCCCAGCGGAGCCTATTTCTCTGTGGAACAATGAGGGCAGGCTTAGTGCCTAACTCTGCGGTGAAGGAAGAGCAGGTAACCCTCTTCTCTGCAGTCTCTGAACAGGTTAGGAACTTCATTCTCGTTGCTCTTAATTCTAGACTTTATTTTCAAATATAACACACAAATATATTAAAAGTAAACTTAATCTAACTGACTTCTTTAAACCTGCTTCTTATAGACCTTTTTACTGCAGAAAAGTGTTCTTGCTTGCCAGAAAATACTGTGAGGAAAGTCTCTCTTTGAAGGTTACTTCAAATGCAGAAAACACCCTCTAATTAGTCTCTCCAGCAGCACTAATAACGATAAAATTTCCAACTCCAAAGCCAGGTTCGCCACTGTCCAGACTTAAAAGTGTCCTTTTAAATAGGCCAGATACTGATGTATGCAGCAAGCCCATTGCCCATTGCCAGTTCTCCCAGGGCATTCAAATGCCAAGCTTGACCTATTTTCACCAGACACGTTGTAATCAACCACAATCTAAATATTTCACTGAGACAAAAGTGTCACAGGGCAGCAGCAGATTATTTTTTTTTCTACAAAGAGAAGGAAGCCGTGTAACAGTGCCTTCATGCAGGCGGCTCCTTTGCCGAGACTGAGCTCCTGGGAAGGAAACGGCTCTGAAATGGATGTGGACTTCAGTCAGGAAGAACTCAATATTCCTTTGGTTTTCTCTATATCCCACAATCTAAAAATGCAATTTGGCTGGGGAATCTATCCCACATTTGTCACCTTTTCTCTCTGCAAGGAGAGCCTCCTCTTCCCGCCCTCCTGCCCCATTAAATCACCACAGCATTTGGATGCTTCAGAAAAAAATACTGTAATTCTAATATACCAGCCATCAGAAGTACTAAACCAGGTGTGGCTCATTCCTTTATGGAAAGCAGCATGGAATATGTGCTGGCAGTATTAAGTAGAAAAATCCAGACTAACATTTTTCACACTTTTTTGTACAGTAAAAAGCCAAACACACACATTTAGCTCTTGGTTGCCTACTGCTAGCAGTGTACGAGGGGACGGGGAACTATGTGTACAATAGAATAATTCAGTTTCTGGGCATGAATTTAAAAGAAACTCTTCTCAGTAGACTGTAGAAGTTATACGATCTACTTTGTCACAAGCTCATAATAGAGGATTTTTCCCCCCTATGTCTAGTAGCTAATTAACTCCTTTCTGCCAAAAATGCTGACTTTGAAATATCCATTGGGTCTAAAAGGCTGCAGCATGTAACACTGGCAAGAACTACCTGGGTGGCTGTGACTCAGTTCTTAATCCTGATGGAAGGGACTGCAGTGAAAACACGACAACATGTTTCTTTGTTTTCACTTGATGTTGGAATGTGATCATGTTGGACACGGCCTTTTTGTTTTCTTTTTTTTAACTATACAAAAGGGTAAATAATCTGGGCTACATCTTCCTTTCAGTTACATCTGTGACTACATCATGCAAGAAGTTTCCGCATTAACAACAGAATACTTTTTAGGACCCTGCTCTTTGCTAATTCTCTGTATGGTCAAGTTGGAGGTGGAAATAGCAGTGGTGTCTGAACTGCAGTGCAAGCAAAGGTCTTGAATCACTTCTGAGCTCCAGAAGACTTTTCAAAGTAGGGTGCTGCTAAGGCAAACTAAGGCAAAACTTCTTCTTCCTGGAATGAGAACAAATGCCAAAAACTGGCATTTTACTCTGTTAAGAGGCTTTCAGCTACCACTCTTGAAAGTGGACCAGTTCAGAATAGGAACTAGGCATATGGAGAACTGAAACGTCGGTTCTACTGTACAGAGCTTTTCCTCAGCCTGTGATCTTGCCTTCTCCCACGAAAAAGGACCTGTAATCATGAAAGCCCCAGAAAAAACCATTTCCCATTTCCTGATTGAGAAATGGAGCTTCCTGACGCATACTGGAAGACCATAAAATAAAACAAAAACCAGCAAATTAGCCTTGCCTTCTGGATGCAAGTTGAAGGCAACTGCCAAAAGCATTGAAACAAACGCAGCCAGTACCATGGCAGCAGTTTTTAAGGCCAGATACTGTGTTACACAGCAATATATAGACAGGCAATGAAAGGAGAAATGCTGCCTTAACCTCAGGATAATGACAGTCATGTACAACAGAAACTATACAGTAACCTTGTTATGTGGCTTTCTGGTTTCAGGGAGATCCCAAGCCCACAGCAGCCTGTGGCACCAATGGACACTCACTGTGCTGGATCACCTGCGGGGGCACGGAGAGGGAAAGGGGAACTGCTGGAGAGTTTCTCAGATGCCTGTAAAGTCAGGCTTTTCCTGCGGGTGTCACTTGGCAAGAGAACAGTACGTATTACAGGTGACCTGCTTCAGTCTCCATGTACTCAAACCACCTCATTAGACATTTTCAATGTTCAAATTACCTGGTAATTTGGTGAAAACAAGCTGACTCCTTCAGGTGGTGTCACTAAATGAGACTGAGGAAAAGCAGCATGTGTGCTCAGGTGTTCATGCCCAGGAGCAAGGTGTAGCTGGAATGGCTCTATCTGCCTTTCCCTGTCAGAACCAGCATGCTCCCAGGTCTCCTGTTGCCCACAACCTGCTGTGCTGTGCTACCTATGCAGGCATCAAAAGGAGAGGAGTGAAAAGCCCCCCCCTTCTTGTTCTGTCTGCAACTGGGAGAACCCTCCATGGAGGAGCTGACTTTCAGTGCCACATGATGCACTTCTTAGCCACATGATGCTCTGTTGGAGCAGGTCCATTGGAGGCCACAAGGATGATGAGAGGGCTGGAGCCCCTCTGCTGTGAGGACAGGCTGAGAGAGTTGGGGTTGTTCAGTCTGGAAAAGAGAAGGCTCCGAGGATACCTTAGAGTCCCTTCCAGTCCCTAAAGGGGCTCCAGGAAAGCTGTTTGAAGACTGTTTGAAAGTGCATGTAGCGATAGGACAAGGGGCAATGGCTTAAACTCGAGTAGGGTAGGTTTAGATGAGACATTAGGAAGTTCTTTACACTGAGGGTGGTGAGACATTGGAACAGGCTGCCCAGAGAGGTGGTGGAGGCCCCATCCTTGAAGACATTCACGGTCAGGCTGGATGAGGCTCTGAGCAGTCTGATCCTGCTTACTGCAGGAAGGGTGGACTGGGTGACCTTTACAGGTCCCTTCCAACCCAACACATTAATTCTATGACTCTGTGATGCTGTCCCCACAGACAGCATCGCCCTGTGCCCCCGCAGGGCAGTGGGGATGTTTGCGCACCCAGAGCCCCGCAGTTTGCAGGGGTAATGCTGAGGTGCTACAGCAGAACCTGGCACTTTCTTGCTTCTCTAAGCCCAGACCTTCCCAGTAGGACTGAATGGTGCTGGATACATTGGCTTATTGACCACTGGACTAGTACGGACTTTGCTACTGCTTTGCTTCACCCGTGGCTTTAACAGTACGCCCAGAAGAACTGAGTGCCTTTGAAATACAGAAAGGATTTATTCATTACATTTATTAAAAAATAAATAAAAGCGGCACTGAGGCAAATGTCCTTAGATGCCGAGTTTCATTAATGAGGTCTAAGACCCACCTGGTGATTCACCAGGAAGGGAATGGCACTGAAAACGGAAACATTTGAAAACAAACAATAAAGTGTCTTTGCTAAATACAGTAACTTGTTCTAGTAAGGATTTCTGCTTCTGTCACAGCAGTAAATCGCTACTTGTGACAAAGTTTATGCAGCTGTTTGCTCAAGGGAGCATTCATCAGTTAACCTGCTGGAAGTCTGGCCAAAAACACAGGAAATCCCAAGAGTAAATTGTTTTTTCTTGTCCAACTTGACCTCACCGAGTTTCCCAAAACGATACCCGTTAGTCTGTCCAGAGAAGAGAGGTGGGGTCCCTGACGTGCCAGTTGTCTGCAATCCACAGAGAAAAATCACACCTATTTTCCACTTGCATTTAGAACTTGGTTATGTTCCTTTCTGTGTCTCTGCCCTACGAATGCAGGAGGAAAGAGATCATTTGGATTTTGAGTGGAAGTTTTTAGGATTCATTCCTTCTCTTTTGGTACATTCCCAGGTACTTCCCTCAGATTCTTCCACCCTATATATGTTCCCCTAAGGAGATTGTTTTAAGAAAATCTGAAAAAAAAAAAAAAGCCAAACCAAAAGCCCCACAGAAACTGTAAGACAAATATAGGACTTTTAAATTTCCAATTAAAGAGTCACATCAGCTAGGAATGCTGAATCTACTGTCCTTGCAATGAAGTTAACAGATACTTGGCATAGCACAAGACTACTTACTGTTTTCTTCTTAAATCCCA